CTTTTTAGTAGTACGGCCTACCCTATGCTGAGCCATCTATGATGCGGCCTACTGGTCAGAAAAAGTTGCCCATGGCTGGAGTAGACTCATCTCAGGGGAAGCAATAACTGTGCTGTACTAATTAATGATTAGACAAGATATCCCGAGACATGTACAGGAGAACAAAAACAATCAACGCCCCTTAGATTAAAGTGTTCAATTCAAAACTTCTTGAAGGTTACTCGAATCGACAAGCACATGAAGAAGTCCGCAGAACGCGACGATCGAGGGGCTGATGGCTATATCACGTTGAAAATTAAGCAATATTGAGCATGGTTAGAACATACATGGGTGGCTTGTAAATACCAGGTGCTGTAAGCTGTGATGTGCGCATGGTTTAATGCAGGGGTCGACAACCTTTTACTGACTACGTGCCGATTTAGGGCTTTAAAATCATTCAGTGTACCAACAGCATACGAAATTTTATACGTCAAGGTCAATATACCTGTTCTATAATATTAATATTATAGTAATATATACAATAAAATGTAAACCACATTTATAGAAATAAACTGTTTTTAAAGTTTTTTTGTTTGTTTTTTTTTTTATTTTATTAATGGAAATTAAAAGAGGGGGCAATTTTAAAACAGCTAAATAGCTTCTTTGCGTTGTAGTACTTATTGGTTCGGACTTCATGATGTCATTTGCGGCTGCGTACCATTGAAAATTGCTTGGGGTGCCACGTCTGGCACGCGTACTGTAGGTTGCCGACCCCTGGAATGGATAATGTCTAGGAATCGGAGAGGTGAGTAACAATTCCATTTGAGTTCGTTATATCCATTTACGTGCAACTACCCTTAATCTACATCTTCTCCCATCACCTATGGGTTAATTAGTAGGATTTGTATTAATAAATCATTATCTTACCATCTAAAAATATTTTCTGGCATAAAATAATCTGCAAAAGGTAGATAAGCTGTAAAAATACAGTGTAAATAATGCTAACACCTCATCCCAGAAATCCAGACAGATAGTAAATATGTTGTTCAATAAATCGAATCCATCGAAATTCTAAAAATAAAAAATACTGTCTTTTTGTCTTATAGTTTCACTTAACAAACAGGAAGAACTTTTCGAGTGACTACGCATGCTTGCGCGAGTACGGAAACACGCACAAATACGTAATTATGTCCAGGGTTTAATGATCAAAAGAGTATTTATTTTACCCGACAAATCTGTATTTTTCAACATAATACTTTCTTTCCTTTTCCATGGGTTTTGTCCAGTGGTCAATATTAATAATAGAGATCGACCGTTACACAGCGATCTAAATATATTGGAGATATTGATCCATCTTATATATACAATGCGTATCAAAAATACTTGAAGAAGGCCGGAGCGTACAACGGCCGAAACATTGTGATAAATATGGCGACATCGATGAGGGCAATAGTCCGAATAATGTAAATAGTGTGATAGTTTCTTTTCTCGCACTTCTCACATGTGCAACTTACTTCCGGCTCTCTGAATTCCAATAAACATCGATCTTCAAAAATTTAAATTCAATGCCAATCGTTATTTATTGATCTCGCTCCTTAATAATGTTTCTTCTTTTTCGGATTACTTCACACTCAGTAATCTCTTGTGTCTTACTGCTTTTCTGCTGGGTGAAATGATTAATATATATATATATATATATATATATATATATATATATATATATATATGGTGGACTCTCCGTCGTATTCGACCTATGAGGGTCAGACAGCTCAGATCAGAGTGGTGAAGGCTTTGTGTAGAACCAACCACACTTTTTTGAAGTGCTGAATGCAGAGACCTGATGCACTACGTGCCACAAGGTCCCCAAACGACCCTCCACAGGTTTTGAATTCAGAGTTGTCCTTCTCCTAGACCAGTTGCCATCCAAGGCTATAGAACCCAGTCTGTCCTGCTATTTTCCCATAGCTGAAGTGAGAAGAAGAAGATTAATACCTTTCCCAAGGGTATTAGCACGTAAGTAATGCATTGGACTGGAATTCGAACACGGATCTCCAATTCCTTAACCTGTGCCTTATCTACTACTCCACCTTAATACAAATATAAAATGTGTCACTTAGCATATCTCGCCTATACACTATGCGTTCCAGCGAAAATACAACAACAGTTTACTTTATCCGTTATTGCTATTAATTTTATATAACCTCAATATTTGTTCGTTTCTTATATACTTAGTAAACGTTTCTACACAATACACTTTGTTTTTTCTTGAGTTTTAAAAAATGACGTGACTTTTGGAAGGCGCGCTATTTCTTATTTCACTGCGTATCTTATATATCCTACATATATCTTACGCATTCATGAATTATCGATAATAACTCATTGTGATGGGGTGTCAGATTTTATTAAGCAAACCAACGGCAACATAAATGTGTATTTCTAAATAAGTCCAAAAGATATCGAAGAAACAAACTGTCCCGCCTTTTATAACATTTGTTGTTTTTCATTTTTTATTTTCAATTTAATTGTTTTTTATGCTACATAAAATTCTGGCAAAGAAATGACATAATCCGAGTGCATCTGTTTGATGTCTTTGTAATTGTTGATCCTGCTGGTAAAGACCACATCGCAACGCAACAGGAACGAACGACCCCTAAGGGGATTCGCTTCTTGTTATAGTGGGTCAAGGCAAAGGATGGGATGGATAATTTCAGTAAGTCATTAAACATTTGAGATGGTTTTTTTTATATATTTCTATAAGAATAGTTTTGTTGTGGTTTTAGTTTTACGTTTGGGAATGTTAATGCTGATTGTTGTAAGAAAGAAAGAAAGAAAGAAAGAAAGAAAGAAAGAAAGAAAGAAAGAAAGAAAGAAAGAAAAGCAAAAATGAATAGAAAGAAAAAAGAAAGAAAAATGGAATGAAGAAAGAATAAAGAAATAAAAGCAGAAATGAATAGAAAGAAAGAATAAAACGAAAGCAAAAATGAATAGAGAGAAAGAGAGAAAGAAAGAAAGAAAATGGAATGAAGAAAGAATAAAGAAATGAAAGCAGAAATGAATGAAATGAAAGAAAGAAATGAAAGCAAAAAGGAATAGAAAGAAAGGAAGAACAAAGAAATGAAAACAGAAATGAATAGAAAGAAAGAAAGAATGAATGAATGGAAAGAAGAAAGAAATGAAAGCAAAATAAATAGAAAGAAATAATGAAAAGAAAAACAGAAAGAATAATGGAATGAAAAAAGAATAAGGAAATGAAAGCGAAATTGTATAGAAAGATAGAAAGAAAGAATGAAAATAAAATTAGAAAGAAAATGTGTAAAGAAGAAAGAATAAAGAAATGAAAGCAAAAATTAATAGAAAGAAAGAAACAATAGAAATCATGAAAGAAAAACAGATAATGCGTAAGAAATTGTATTAATGAGGAGGAGATAAAGAAAAAGAAAGAAAAGGAAACAATGGAACGGAGAATATAATGAAAATCAGAAAATACATGAAATAAAACAAAAAGAAGGAAAGATCATTTGAAAGAAGGGGTAAAGCGAAGAAAATTAAAGGAAAAAAAGCAATGTAAAATAAATAAATGATGGAAAGAATAAACAGAAGTGAAAAGTAAAAAGAAAGATTGAGTGAAAAATCAAATGAAAGAAAAGACAAACGTTTTATTGGGTCATTGCAGGATTACCCGATCCACCGGTGAAAGAATGAATCGCCACTTTTAATCCAATTTTGCATCGAACAGCCCTAAGTTCATTCTCTCGAAATATGAAAATTTTCGTGCTCCAGCACCACGAAGCATTGGCGAATGATTCAACAATTATTTTTCTTGCATTATATGCTAGATTATTACCAGTAAATAAATCTTTATTTTTACATCTTAACTAATATGTAAAAATAAAAATCTATTAAAATGAGTCCCAAATAACTTCCGCTTTTAGGAGAACCAATTGTGATGACGAATCTATCATTCTAACTAACCTTTCCTTAAATATAACAGAGCAGGTGATGATAAAATGGGTTGCATTACGACAAAAGACGCAAAAGACAGTCGATTGACAAAGATCAATTTCAATAACTGTTATGATGTTGATTTGGGGTTAGTAGAGACAAACGCCAAATAACACGTAACAATAAAAAGGGTTTTAATAGGTTGGTAAAAAGGTACAGAAATCGCCTGAGTAGTCAATAACTAGTTCAGCTAAGAACTTCTCTGTCTATCTATCTTCCCCCTGTGTCAACTGACATGCCACTATTTAAAGTCTTTGTTCACAGACGCAGACAAGTCCATCTTCAAGAGGGGTGGTAGGTTTCCGACACAACAATAACTAATCCTAAAAGTTGAGCTCCATGGAAGAAAGGTGATGAGAATGGTGGGATAATCAAGATGTCATTTACTTACAGTTTTTAAATGCACATTTATACTTCTATCTCCTATAATGTGTCCATAAACGTTTATATTGAAAAGTGTCCTACTGACTTCAATAGGAAAAAATGTAGTTTTCCTCCCAACCATGACAGCACAACGCGGCATGCAGAAAATAGCTGGGGGGAAAACGAGCTTCATAAGTTTCCCAAGGGCATTTGCGCGTAAGCGAATATAACAAACCCAACTGGAATTAGAACTCGGCTCTCCAATTAACTAATTGGCAGCACAAGGCGGCATGCAGAAAAAATAAATCCGGAAAAGATTTTGAAACTGTGTTTGTTTGTTCCACGCCAAATGCTATATTTATCAGTTAGTTCATGGCGATATTTTTGTTTAGCGAGATATCAACCCTTTGCAGGTTATTAATGCCAAAATCTAAAGATTTTGTATACAATTTTATTCTATTATAGGAAATAATAATTGTTTAGCGACACAAGTTTTACTAATTAACCCACATCTGGGGGGAAACGAGATTCATAACTTTCCCAAGGACATTTGCGCGTAAGGGAATATAACGTACCCAGCTGGAATTAGAACTCGGCTCTCCAATTAACAATTTCGAGCCATTAGACAGTACACCACCCGCACATCCAAACTTAGGGCACTTGTTATTCTGAAGAGGTCACCCATCTATGTACTGATCAGGCTCGGCGTTGCTTAACTTCGGTGATTGTACGGGAACTGGTGTTTGAACCGGATGCGGCCGTAAAACATTATTTACTAAACGTTACACCAACCGATTGTTACCTTTTTCAGTTGCTGAAAAACGATTTGAGCGGAAAAACTTTTTCTAATGAAAACCAGATTCAAAATTTTCGCGTTAAAAATTGTGGAATTTTATCGCAACAAGTCATTGCAAATGGCGGTGAATATATAATTGAATGATATTTATTTGTCGTTTATATTTTGAAGAATAAATCTAGAACAAAAACGCAAGTTATTGTATAATTATTAATATTATTATTAACCTTAAAGTAAGCGCCCAAAAAGAAGTATTTTTCTGCCAGTGTCAGTAAAAACTATATGAAAATCATTTCAGAGATAGAGGTGATACAGGGGAGGTAACTGCAAAAGTTTCTAATTTGCTTTATATTTCAGACAATTTTCTCAATATGTGTGAAATAATAGTCAGTTGTAAAATATTCTTTTATTCACCTTAAAATATGATTAATTATTTTTTGCACTATGGTCTACCGTTTTCTAAAATATAATTGAAATTTCATAAGTAACTTTGAATATAGTATTGTGCTAACAAACACACGAATATATATATATATATATATATATATATATATATATATATATATATATATATATATATATATATATATATTGTAAACTATAATTAGTTAAAAGTATTCACTACTATTTCTCTAGTAGTTTCATCTTCAAGGTTAGGATTATTGGTATCTACCAGGAGGCCAAGTCGCAACTGGATGTGACACAAAGTCAAGGGTTAAAGTGTGTCTAACGATCACAACGTGAAAAAATTGTCGGGCCCCGTCAGTACTTCCCCTTTTGGGAACGCTTCAGGCCACTGTGCAATAACCCAGCTTCCTTCCAAGGGAGGGGTACTAACTTGGGGGGGCTAAAATCCCCCGCTCCCTGGGGCTTGGCCTAATATTCAATGAATAGCACTCCCAGGAAAAGGTTAAGATTAGTTTAGTCTCCAACTGTATCAATTGTTATTTATATGGTAGGGATTTGCAAATGGATACAATATATAACCCCTGTTCACCTTCGGTTTATTTTTGGGTTTTATTTTTTGGTTTTGTTTTGCTTTTGTGACGCCACGTCCTTTCAGGACATAAACGATTTTCACACGGATTCCTTTACTCCATTTTAAAATTTAAGTTCAAATATTTTGGTCATTTCTCGTGATTTATTTAATATCTAGAATATCAATAGTTTTATTTCAAATGAATAATAAATTACTAGAAATAGGATTTCCTATTTTAATTTTCTGATGAATCTTAATGATTGAGTAAGATCATGGTGAGTTCTTATCGGTACAAATTCCCCTAACGCATCGTTAAAATATTTGTGCTCAACAACTCTAACAAAATATTGCAATAATAATAATATGACTGCGGGTCGTTATTGAAAGAAGTTAGGGGGTACAAATGAAAAAGTTTGAAATGGACAACTTCTTCCATTTGAGTGGAACAGCCGTTAAACATTTCTATCCTCGTTTCTTTCTTTCATTTTCTCACTGAAAACAAGTAGCATCTCTGATATGTCATTTGCGTTTTTCCATCCATCATTATTCAAGAGGTACTGGCTTCCGTTTTATCACGAGATCAAAACGGAATAGTCCATTATTTATTAGGTATTGGCTTCTGCATTCCCACGCGATCAAAACGGAAACGTCTATTATTTATGAGGTATTGGCTTCCGTTTTCCCACGCGATCAAAACGGAGTAGTCCATTATTTATTAGGTATTGGCTTCAGCTTTCCCACGTGATCAAAACGGAATAGTCCATTTTTTATTAGGTATTGGCTACCGTTTTCCGACGTGATCAAAACGGAATAGTCCATTATTTATTAGGTATTGGCTCCCGCTTTCCAACGCGATCAAAACAGAATAGTCCATTATTTATGAGGTATTGGCTACCGTTTTCCCACGCGATCAAAACGGAATAGTCCATTCTTTATGAGGCATTGGTTACTGTTTTCATACGCGATCCAAACGGAATAGTCCATTATATTTGAGGTATTGGCTTCCGTTTTCCCACGCGAACAAAACGGAATGGTTCATTATTTATTACGTATTGGTTTCCGCTTTACCACGGGATCAAAATGGAATAGTCCATTATTTAAAAGGCATTGGCTACCTTTTTCACACGCGATCAAAACGGACAGGTCCATTATTTACGATGTATTGGCTTCCGCTTTCCCACGCGATCAAAACGGTAAAGTCCATTTTTTATGAGGTATTGGCTTCCGTTTTCCCACGCGATCAAAACGGAGTAGTCCATTATTTATTAGGTATTGGCTTCCGCTTTCCTAAGCGATCAAAACGGAAAAGTCCATTCTTTATGAGGTACTGGCTTCCGTTTTACCATGCGATCAAAAAAGGAGTAGTCCATTTTTATGAGGTATTGGCTTCCGCTTTCCCACGCGATTCAAACGGAATAGTCTATTATTTAATAGGTATTGGCTTCCGCTTTCCCATGCGATCAGAACGGAAAAGTCCATTATTTATTAGGTATTGGCTTCCGCTTTTTTACGCGATCAAATCGGAAAAGTCCATTATTTATGAGGTATTGGCTTCCGCTTTCCCACGTGATCATAACGGAATAGTCCATTATTTATTAAGTATTGGCTTCGATATTCCCACGCGATCAAAACAGAATAGTCCATTATTTATTAGCTATTGGCTTCCGCTTTCCTACGCGATCAAAACGGAGTAGTCCATTATTTATTAGGTATTGGCTTCCGCTTTCCTACGCGATCAAAACGGAAAAGTCCATTCTTTATGAGGTACTGGCTTCCGTTTTACCATGCGATCAAAAAAGGAGTAGTCCATTTTTATGAGGTATTGGCTTCCGCTTTCCCACGCGATTCAAACGGAATAGTCTATTATTTAATAGGTATTGGCTTCCGCTTTCCCATGCGATCAGAACGGAAAAGTCCATTATTTATTAGCTATTGGCTTCCGCTTTTTTACGCGATCAAATCGGAAAAGTCCATTATTTATGAGGTATTGGCTTCCGCTTTCCCACGTGATCATAACGGAATAGTCCATTATTTATTAAGTATTGGCTTCGATATTCCCACGCGATCAAAACAGAATAGTCCATTATTTATTAGGTATTGGCTTCCGTTTTACCATGCGATCAAAACGGAGTAGTCCATTATTTATTAGGTATTGGCTTCCGCTTTCGCACGTGATCAGAACGGAATAGTCCATTATTTATTAGGCATTGGTTACCATTTTCCCGCGCGATCAAAACGGAATAGTACATTATTGGGTATTCGCTTCCGCTTTCCACGCGATCAAAACGTAGTAGTCCATTATTTATTAGGTATTGGCTACCGTTTCCAAGGCGATCAAAACGGAATAATCCATTATTTATTAGGTATTGGCTACCGTTTTCCCACGCGATCAAAACGGAATAGTCCATTATTTTTTATGTATTGGCTTCCGCTTTCTCACGCCATCAAAACGGAATAGTCCATTATTTATGATATATTGGCTACTGTTTTCCCACACGATCAAAACGGAATAATCCATGATTTATTAGATATTGGCTACCGTTTTCACACGCGATCATAACGGTATAGTCCATTATTCATGAGGTATTAGCTTCGATTTTCCCACGCGATCAGCACAGAATAGTCCATTATTTATTAGGCATTGGCTTCCATTTTCCCATGCGATCAAAACGGAATAGTCCATTATTTATTAGGTATTGGCTTCCTCTCTCCCACGTGATCAAAACGGAATAGTCCATTATTTATGAAGTATTGGCTACCGTTTTCCCACGCGTTCAAAACGGAATAGTCCATTATTTACTAGGTATTGGCTTCCGCTTTCCCACGCGATCAAAACGGAGTAGTCCACTATTTATGAGTTATTGGCTTCCGCTTTCCCACGTGATCAAAACGGTATACACCATTTCTTATAAGGTATTGGCGACCGTTTTCCAAAGCGATCAAAACGGAATAGTCCATTATTTATTAGGTATTGGCTTCCGCTTTCCCACGTGATCAAAACGGAATACTCCATTATTTATAAGGTACTGGCTTCCGTTTTCCAACACGATCAAAACGTGGTAGTCCATTATTTATTAGGTATTGGCTTCTGCTTTCCCACGCGATCAAAACGGACTAGTCCATTATTTATTAAGTATTGGCTACCGTTTTCCTATGCGATCAAAACGAAAAAGTTCATTATTTATTAGGTATTGGCTTCCGCTCTCCCACGCGATCAAAACGGAATAGTCCATTATTTATTAGGTATTGTCTACCGTTTTCCCACGTGATCAAAACGGAATACTCCATTATTTATTAGGTATTGGCTTCCGCTTTCCTACGCGATCAAAACGGAAAAGTCCATTATTTATGAGGTATTGGCTTACGTTTTACCATGCGATCGAAAAAGGAGTAGTCCATTATTTATGAGGTATTGGCTTCCGCTTTCCCACGCGATTCAAACGGAATAGTCCATTATTTAATAGGTATTGGCTTCCGCTTTCCCATGCGATCAGAACGGAAAAGTCCATTATTTATTAGGTATTGGCTTCCGCTTTTTTACGCGATCAAATCGGAAAAGTCCATTATTTATGAGGTATTGGCTTCCGTTTTCACACGCGATCAAAAAGGAGTAGTCCATTATTTATTAGGTATTGGTTTCCGCTTTCCCACGGGATCAAAATGGAATAGTCCATTATTTAAAAGGCATTGGCTACCTTTTTCACACGCGATCAAAACGGACAGGTCCATTATTTACGATGTATTGGCTTCCGTTTTCCCACGCGATCAAAACGGTAAAGTCCATTTTTTATGAGGTATTGGCTTCCGTTTTCCCACGCGATCAAAACGGAGTAGTCCATTATTTATTAGGTATTGGCTTCCTCTATCCTACGCGATCAAAATGGAAAAGTCCATTATTTATGAGGTATTGGCTTACGTTTTCCTTCGCGATCAAAAAGGAGTAGTCCATTATTTGTTAAGTATTGGCTTCCGCTTTCCTACGA